GAAGAGGGGGAAAGCTTTTCTTCTGGTTTCGGGGAGGAGCAAGCAGAAGATACCAGAGAACAATGATCCATGGTAGCAGCCCGCCCGTTATGTCCCAGGCATCGAGGTGGTTCTTGAACGATGATATCCCCGAATTTTGGGTTCTGTGTCGAGCCCAGGAAGTAACTAAAGTTTCTTGATTGTCCGTTGCAGGCAGGAAGGAGGTTTAAATCGGATGTACCCGACGCTATGGTACCGTCTGCCCGTCAACAAGGTTATCCTTTCGGCTTCTTTCCACATTCTTCCCTCGAGACGAGCTTTTGGTTCCCAAGAGACTTTGGCAGAAATTCTATCTATTGTATAGGAAATGAGAATGGACAAAGTTTAGGGGGGGGGTCACAAGAGATTCAGGCGTTTTCGAAAGTGGAAAATTAGACGAGGGGGCGAACAAGAACCCCAACAAGGTGGTCGTGGTCATGATGATGATGATGATGATGTGCTGACTGATGAGCCCATTTTTTCCAAGTCAAGATGCCTGCACTCGAGCATCATTTACATCCTCCTCCATCATAATATCAGCCACTACTCTGAGCTATTGAGCTTGGTAACTTGGTAAGAAAGTGTAGGGGTGGAAGGCATATCCGCATTATTTTCGATAGTAGCAACGGAAGTCAAGAGTCAGCCCCACCACCCGGAGCTTTAGAGCAGCCGATTCCATCACACTCATAGACGACCGACCGATGGTGGCAGTGCGACCATGTGTCAGTACAGTAACTATTAATCTTCCGATTCCGATCCCTCCTCAATCCTCATCGACTTCCGAAAAGCGGAGCGTACAGGGAGGCTGAGAAAAGGATAAAGCAAACTCCCAATCAATATTTCTTTGTATTTAGTAGCGAAGACAATGACCCTACCGTTAAGGGCCATCCTATCGCTGAAAAAGCAGTGGACTCCCCTGCACCAGGGCTCCGCCTCAGCGGACTTTGAGATCGCGATATCCGATACGTTAGCGGGACGTCGAGAGCTCCAATCAACTCAACCATCACTCCAGATGTTTTAATACTACACCTAGTTACCAACCGGATAACCCGGGCCACAGATTCATTTTTAGCTTTTCACCTTCTCGCAAACTGACGCGGCCGTTTCACATCAGACACTAGCTCGAGTCTTGGTTCTTGGAGCATGTGTTTCCCCCCCCGTCTCACTTTGGCTTTGGATTTTGTTTTAGTTTTGGAGCTCGCGCGGTCGCTTGCCAACCGAAAAAAAAAAAGAAAAGAAAAGAAAAAAGAAAAACGGTTTTTTGGGGGAGGGCGGTCAAGCTAGGACCACCGGGAGATCATTTAGTATAGGTATACGGTCATACGGTCGGTACTAGTCACCCTAGGTGATTTCCCACACTGCTGGGAACTTTCGAGACGTCCTACCAGTAAGGTACGTACTACGTTACTCCGTAGAAATACTCGAAGAAAAGGTGAATTGGTTGGGTTCGGCAACGCCGTTGGCTGGCTGAAGTTAAGTCACACACTCAACTCGGGAACCCTAACGAACCACAGTACCTTACTATGGCTGTGTCACGGTCCTGGCACGGTCACTCCAAGGCTTGGGCCGTTGCCTTCCAAATCAAGTAATCGGGCGTTATCTCCAGGCTTTATTTTACATACGATTCATGCATAAGGACAAGAAGACTGGTTTCATAAGGGTTTATTAATGGAGCATTGAAGCTAACTGACCAACTACACCATAGTTAGATGAGAAGGCAGGAGAGAGACAGAGAGGGAGAATCGGCCCCCAATCCCTTATGATGGATGGATGGGTGGTTTCTTTCCGTTTTGGAACAAAGGTCTAGAGCTCGGGATCTTGGTTTACCGCCTGTTATTACATTCTGTCGGGATGCGGGCAGATCAGGCAGCTAGGTACGGAGTACGGAGTCGGGATCTAGGCAGAAGCTGGAGATATACTACACTACTTGCTGCGATATGGGGGTGGCTTGGTCTTCTCTTGAAGGGAGAGGGGATCTCACAGGTGATGATGATATTAAACTATGGTCACCGGTAATCTATTTGGAACCAAGTAAAGCTCCCCGATCCATGCATCAAGCTGCATACAACTGACGATCACAGAAACTCCGCGCCAGCCTCAATGCTTCCTCCCTCTACCCCTACCTCCATGGTCTGACTGGATGATACTTCGAATCCCATTATGATCATGGATCAATGATATGTGTATTCCACACCCCTTTCCTTTATTCGAAAACCCTAGACCAAAATTAGAAGAAACAAAGAAAAAACCTTTTGTATACTCGTCCAAGTTCCAATTTACGGAGATGGGCACTAAATCCCCACAAAATAGATTAAAGCCCGCGCCAGACCGCAAAGCAGATCGTGTTTGTTGGGAAAATCTTGGGCCCTCCCGGGAAGAGGGGTCCTCCTGTTTGTTTGTAACAGATTAATTCTTTCCAGTTTGCTTTTTGCAATCGAAGGTTGGAGAAACATTCTGGTTTGTTTCAAGAATCGATCCTCATGTACATAATGTCCTGGAAGCTGAAAGGAAGGCGGGATTGCGGCTTCTTTTTTTGGTCTGTTTCCCCCGCCCCTTCGTGCTCAAAAAGCCCGTATATGTGTGTGTTATGTGTGTGGGTGCGTGGGTGGAGATCAGTTTCAGCTGTCAGGCTGAGCTTCGATCTTGTCTAGGGGCAATTTGGATAGATGATATTAAGTAAAGCAATTTAACACAACTACCCAATAAACACCCGTCAATCAAACTGGCCAGCGGTTTCTTTAATCTTAAATTCATATAGTCCATGACGAGTATAGGTTATATTATGTGACAAAGAGCTTGCAGGGAAGGGGTCTGTTGAGGAGAGTAGGAAATGTACAGTACATTGGTACATAGTAAAAGTTGACTGGTACAGAAAAAACAGTATTTACGTACAGGTAGGTGTACGTACTGGGATTCGGTTCCTGATGTTCAGCAAATCGTGGAACGGTTTTTCTTCCTTTCCACCGGGCGATCCACTGGCAAGCAGCATCAATCAGCCTCGTTCTTGTTCTTGTCCACTGTGTTTGATTGTTCGGATTGTCGGGGGTCCATTGGAGGAGAGGACTGTACACAGTAAGAACGGTGGTTTGTGGACAAAATCAGAAGTCGAGTCACGATGATAACGACCCACCAGTTCCACCACCACCACCACCACCAACTCAAGCCCTCTAGAACTAAACCTAATTAGGTAGCTTGACTAGTAAGGAAGTGAACTTCACAAGATTCATTCGTCACAATGGAGTTGCAAGTGGATGAAGAATGAACCTGGCAAATACGTCACGTTGGGCAGGCTGTTGGAGAATTGAAAAAGAGAGAAAAAAAAACATTCTTTGCGGTGTTGATTTATTCCTAAACAGGGAAAGTGCAACGCTAATGCTCATGAATTCCAAATCAACAGCAGCTGTGAGGATCGGCGGTAAGTAGCGTAGCCCCATCTCTTGGCTGTGTAGACTAACTTACTTGTACTGAGTAAATCAATCCCAGATAGTTTTCTTCTACAGTAGGAATTGAATTGTTTGGAAAGTAAAGAAAAACTGAACTTAACCCTATCGTCATCTTCCACTTGTTGTGGTGCACTCCCTAGATAATTATTTAATCGTCACGGGTCGAACCTTCCTAAATAGCATTGTTTCGGTTGCTATATTTGAACCTGTTTGTTTTATTGTTCGAAACAGGGAACAGGATTCCACTTCACGACTCATGGAGAATGCTCTTTTCCTTCCCCCACAATGAATCCTTTCCTCAGTCAAGATCCCACTCCTGCTCCGTCTATTCTGCTCCACTGGGGTTTTTATATATCACCTGGTGTAACAAACAAGGGATAACGGTCCCAGTCTGGGGTGTATACTCATCCACTTATGTGTATACATACATGGGGCACGAACAAACCTGTGTAACAATTAATGTCCATCCATCCATATACTTGTAGATGAAGCACTGACATCCAATAACTGCACTGGTCATGTGTACAGTACAGTGTACGGAGTAGGAAAAGAAGCATTCGATAACGGCCCAGACCTAAAGGCAAACTGCGGCGAATCGAGAGTGAGCGGGGATTAGCGGCCGGGGGTGGGTTGAGATTTGAAGAGTGGTGCACGGGAATATCGTAGATCATCGCATTTGTGTTTGATTGAACCCGAGCGCCTGGAGAGAAGGTAACCTCGTAGCGGAAGCAATACCCGTAACATGCATAATAGAAAATATGTACACATATACTGTACATACATACATACATACATGGCCTCAAGGCTAAACCGGTAGGGACGTTTGTTTGAGACAGTCTCAGTGACAGAATAAAGTGACCTACCTAGCATCACATCGATAGGATTTTCCAGGTACACAGTTCCAAGCTTACTTACCTAGAGCTCAGCGGACTGGGCTGGAACGGGCAAGAAAAAACCGGGCAAGGTCCCCGGGAGATTCAATGCAGACTGGTTGGCATACAGCTCTGGGCTCTATAGCCTAGTCTATAACCAACATGCCAGGTTCCCGCTCCCCAGCTTAAAGAGAGAGAGAGAACGGATAGGTGAGGGGGGGGGGGTAAGCAGAGGTAAAAAAAAAAGGTCCAGACATTCATGAGTCAGGCAGGGTGCTTCCATGATTAGTATGCAGTCAGCGAATGGGGAATGGGTGTTTTAAGAAGATGTAGCCTTTGTGTTGCTCGTAGCGTAGTGGCGAGTCAGGCAGATAGTCCACGGTGGTAGGGAGCCTTCCTTGATCCATCATGACCGTATCCAGAAGAGGATGCTAGGTAATGCGGACAGCCTACTGGTTAGAGCTAGGCCAGTGGGTGGTGGCACATGAGAGCCGAGTCCGAGGGAGACATTCCTGTGGCGCGATGGATTCCTTTGCCTATTCTTCGTTCCCCCTCCTCCTCCTCTCCTCCTTATGGTTGCTTCTCCTTGATGTCGCTCATGCGATGGCTCCACCGAGACAGGAATAGACGGTTGGGACGTTTCTTGAGCCGTGACAAGAGGGGACGGGGGTAAAGTTAACGTGGTCCGCTAAGGTGCTTTTTTAGATTTACTTTTCTCCAAAGGCTGCTGGTGAAAAACAAAATAGGATCTCCTGCAGCCACTTGTGAATCACCGGTGGACAAGTCTGCAGTTCGCTCCATCCGTTACAAGGCCGAGGCCGATGCCTCCTTCTACCGTTAGCGACGGCTGCAAACGCGCAATGAGATAAAGAGAGAGAGGGAAAAAAAACAAGGAGAAAGGAGGAAGGAAAGATGGTCAAGGAGGGGCACTGGCGAATCATGCAAGCCTTTATCCCCCCTCCAAAGTCAATCACAGTTCGGCCAGCCTGAGTGTCCCTGGATAAACTTTCTCTGGGTTATCAACCTTACCTACCAGTAAGTTACCTCCCCGAGCATCCTGACTGGGGCCAACCCACTCACACACACCCACATCCACTCTGCAGACTGGTAGGTAAAGGAAGCGGGTGTCAACATCCGACCATTGGTAGTCGAGCCATGCATGAACCACCCACTGCATCCATTCTGAGGGGATGAGAGGAGGTTCCATACTAGGGAGGAAGAAGGATGGTTGTCAGCTGCGCTTCTCAATAGACCTATCGATCCTCAGCTCCATGCGCAAGTCTGTGTATGTGAGAAGGTGTTACAGTACAGTCTACCTGGATTGCTTTTGCTTCGTCTTCTTCGTCGTGTTTTGTGTTCTGTGGGTTTTTCTTTTTTCCAGGTTCATGATGCGTGTTTCTTGATCCAGACGTTGAATCCCTGGACTGCTCGGCCCATTTTGCTTTGACTCGTCCGTGTCTGTTCTGTCTGCCTCGTTCGTCTTCTTCGCCTCCTCGTAACTTGTGCGCCGCCCCTTGCGCGCAACCGCGTGAGCCCATGGCCGTTGACTGGCGAAGAATGGGCTGATGACAGCCAGCCACCTGGATGATGGATAAGCTGTGTGTCGCGGGAACCGGACAACTTCCCCCTTCTGATTTGTTCCCAGTCTGCTCTCCTTCAAATATGATGCAACGGTCGAGACGGCGCTTCTCATGGATCGGTTCGGGCAAAATCATCCGAGGATACGTGATGCTCTGAGTGGATATGTGGACGGTACATGATTCCAAGTCAAGAGAATATTAAGGTATTATTAAGGTGTAATAATAATAGTAATAATGCTCTTCCCGCGCGTGACAAAATATTGTAATAAACCAAAAACAACCAATGGGGTATTACCAAATCCAAGCTCACAAAATGGCCGAAAGAATTAGAACCGACATATACAAAACACATTCCTTCGACATTGGCCCGCTCTATGCCCAGAAGTGCGCACCATAGTTAAAAGGTCATCAGTAAACAAAGGAGAGATCAAACAGAAAAAGAAACACCGGATGTTCTCCCGAATACTTTTCTCATACCGTAAGAAAAACGGTTCGGTCGCTTGCCACGTGACCCGCCGTGGAAATAGCCCGAACCATAGATGAAAACAATGTACATGGTATGAATACAAAGGAAAAAATAGGGAAACGATCAGGAAAGAGTGACAAGGGTCGGTCGGAGCTCTCAAATATACAGAGAATTGGCTGGAGATATCGTGGCGAAGTAGAAGGAGTCATGCAATCGTTCTCAGCAGGTCAACGAAAGGACCACCGTAAATCAGTTGAGCAGATTTTGCAGACCCATGCGGGAATCACGTGGCGAGTCGGTCTTATCTTCTGAAGCGACAGACCAGGTAGGTGATGATAACGAAGATGGTCGGTTCCACGGCTGGTAGTCGGAAGTCCATCGTTGCTTGAAAGACAGATCTGAAAGGGGTTCCAGCGTTTTGATGCCGTAGTAGGGATTGGGAAGGTAGCTTTCGTCGGTTGTTTGGAAGGATGATGCGCTTTGTCTGCGAGCATCGCCATAGAGGTGTCTCACACTCACCGGCACAGGGAGAAGTTGAGGAGAGGCGACGGTTCTGGGCGAGGAAGAGACCGAGTTGTGATCCGAGACCATCGATGGTGGCTCCATTGAGGGGGCATCTGAGTAGGTGGGCGAAGTCAAAGGCGTTTCCACTGGGCGGTTGAGGGCGGGAAGGGTAAAGATGGGCGTCAACTGCCGAGGGCAGTTGATCGAAGATGCTGAGAAGGATTCCCGGCGGGAAGAGGGAGACTTGGTCCAGGAGGGAATCGGTCTCTCGCTGGAGATAGAGGAGTAGCGGGATCGGCTAATGGGGCTGCTCAGAGCCAAAGAAGTGCGTGCATAGGGAGCTTCGATCCGTCCGTGAAGAGTGCGTCCGGAGTGAGGAGAAGTGGGCAGGCCTCGTCTCTTGCGGTTCATGCTGCCATTCCACCAGTTCTTGACCGCATTGTCGCTACGATTCCCCAGGCGCCGGGCAATCTCAGCCCACCGCTTGCCCATCTCATTCACCATGCGCTCAATCATCAAGCCTTCTTCAGCCGAAATTGGCTCGCGATTCAATGAGGGCTTCAGGTTCTGGTGGAATCGCTCCCGGCATTGCTTGGGAGAACGATAGTGCATGTGCTGAGAAATACGAACCCAGTTGTTGGGGCCTTGTTCGCGAACCAACTGTAGGAGTAGCTGATCCTCCTCTGGGACCCAGGGTCCACGACGATGAGTAGGTGCCATTGTGGATGGAAATGAAACTGCAAGGGGCGGCTGAACCGTGGAGAGCAAGATTCAAGATTGAGTTTCTGTGAGATGAAGATTAGACTTCTGGCACAAGAGATGATCGGAGGGAATAAGGGAAAGAAAAAACAGGAATGATAACAGTTGGACAGCACCGATGTAGACACAAAGGGTGTTGAAGAAGGGAAGCGAGCAGATACTGTTGGAGATAATGTATGGGCGGGTGGGGCACGACTGAAGAGTGAAATAGCCAAGGGCGTCTTACCGTGGGGTTGTTTCCGGAGTGTAAGTCCAGTACTACCACTAGTAGTCGGCAGGCAGGTGGGTAGCCGGTATGTGGTAAGGTACTGTAGTGCACAAGGCAGGACTAACACCAGCTGAAAGGGTAGGCAAGAAGTAAGGCGCAATGACCACAGATCCAAGCAGCTGGGTGATGCAAGCAGTAGATCGAGAGTCGAGGGACTTGGAAATTGGTTTGTTCAAGGGAATAAGGTTCGAAGGTGCGTCCCTGGGGATGGTAGATATAGGATGAGAGGTAAAGTGAGACCCGACGGGACTTTAAGAGATGTTGACAAGGACAGTTTAACAATAGTCAAGTAAAGGAGGGATGGAGATGGAAAGGTTACGATCTTCTATTATAGCAACAAGCAGCAACAGAAGGATACAATGACCAGGGAGACGGGTCAGAGAAAAATGGGTTACTGCTCCACACCAGCACGCTATAGGAGAAGATCTGATCCAAGATCTCGGAGCTGACAGTTGTCGGAGGAATGTTTTTTTTTATTTTTTATTTTTCTATTTTCTGACAAAAAAAGATTGTCAAAAAAATTAAAGGTGGTTGTTATTAATCTCGAGGTCAGTGTAATTATTTATTTTTTCTATTTTTCTTCATTCCTTACCATACCACGGAAATATGACCAGTATGTATGTATGGTAATTGAAAGAAGCAGTACACTTCGAATATGGAAGGGTACGATACGTACGGCTAACCGACTGATGCTCAACAGTACGTTACTGCTAGGCACACCAAAGAGGCTAGACAGATCGATTGTGCCCCCTCCCCCCGTCTGTCACCAAACATCATTCCTGTCTACAATTAACCATTCTCAGCCAAGCACACTTACTTACCTAACCACAATCACAAAGAAGCGATCAGATTACCATCACCATTAATTGAACATGAGCTCAACCGATCTCATCTCCTCTCCTTAATCTAGCGCTGAAGACGGACGCATTCTGCAGTATCTTCTTTCGGTAAAATCGGACCCATCATTGACAGGGAAGCGAAACAACCACGCGGCTGAAAAAGCAAGCAAGGCAGCTATCAGCTGCTGCAGCTGGCGTTTCTGGGTCGTGGGGCAAGATTTGCCACTATTCCCGGACACTGACGGGCTCTACCACAGGATCGGTGTTGCAGCAGGGATATTAGAGGTGCCAGTCGCTGGCCCGAGTGAGGCACAGCTGTAGTAGCTCCATGCAGCTTCTGTTCTATTTTGAACCTTTGCTTTTTCGTGTTTCCGCTCACTTGTTGCGCTGCTTAGGTCTATCATCAACCGACCGACTCGTTATGTCAGAGACAGAGACAGTTTGAGACGTCGTCCAGGAGAAGCCAGCCAGTTGCTCACCTATATCTGAGGCAAGGCTAGGCTGACCTTCAGAGTGCTGCTATAGTTGGTAGAGGGGCCACCATCCAGATCTCTGGGAGCTATTCTAATTGCAATGCTTTTGCTGCGAGCAATGTGTTCTGGGGCGTTTACTTGCATGGGGCACCCTGGTAATATGATCTTCACTAGTGCTATATAAGTTCCAGGATGACGATGCAACTCCATTCAGAGCACAAGCGCCATATATCCTACGCATCCTCTCTCTCCCTCTCTATCCCCCTTCTGCGATAGTCCTAAAGATTCGAGAAGATATGGCGGAAAGGATACGGAGTAGCCTAGCTTGATTTGTTTCTTGTGACCTAAATTGAATTAAGACTTTACACAATTGATCGCTTTTTTTTTTGTGTTTGCATTTCCCCACACTCGTAGCAGTGTTGATATCGAAGTATATGCAAGCCAGAGAATTGGGTGGTGGACTTCCCGCTCTCATGGCGACCTGTAGTCATAAGCGATCTGTAGACCGAGGCGAACTAACCGCCGCAGCTTGACCCATGCCTATGTTAAGTTCAGGCGGCCCTGACAGGAGCAACGGGTGCGGCAAAAACGGCGAAGTGTAGGTAAATGCGTAGGTAAATGCGAGGAAGGGGGTCATACACGTCGAATGCAGAATTTCATGGATCCTGCGGGGCGGGCTCCTTCGGGGACCATGATAACAAACCACAAACGACAAACGACAAGAGCGGAGGAAGGGGCTGGCAGGGAACAGGGAAGTAGGTAAAAATAAACCATCGCTTCCTGCCATGTCCCCTTCCGCCCGCATGGTGGAAGATGGTGTGTTGAAACTTGAAGGTGTTGACTGTTGAGCTGCTGCGCCGACATCACGGGCAGCGCGCTCGCTCATTCAGGGCTTATTCTAGGCACAAGAGACAGGAATTGAACCAGGAGAGAGACTCGAATTAAGATGGATCCACCACACTAATGAAATTGGGCAGTGACAGATCGGGCTATGTATGAGAAAGGTCTTCTTACTACGTACTCTACTGAGGACAAAAATCAAGAGTACTTACTAAAAGTACTTTGTACCTGACAGACTGAAATTCGTCACGAGGGATTGTGCCATGGTTGCTCTCTTACATTTAGAATTAATCTATTAAGTTACTTCCCTTTATTAGTTGATCAACGAAGCCCGGTCTAGCTTCTTTTACCTTCTTTAGTAGAGAGGGAGGGTGAGGAATGGCGGCTACAGATTATTACACATCAATACCACGTTAGAATGGAAGGTGCATGATTCCCTAAGAGGAAATCTCAGCTTGCTGCGGTGGTGGTGGTGGTGGTGGTTCTCCGTCTCAGCCAGCCATGAGATGTTGAGGAGAATGATCGAATTCCGCTACAATTAATCTAGTCTAATTACTATTATTTCCTCCCGCTCCGACTTGACCTCTCCACTTCTCCCACTCCTCCTACTCCGTCCTCTTCTCCTCTCCCCCCCCTCCGTGGACCGTTATCCAGAACATGACCTCGAACTGTTTTAAAGTGGGGCTCTGTGATTGGCGCAGGCCAACCTGCAACAATTTGGAATCTTTTCAAGGTTGATTTGGTCTTATACCTGTTCGGGATGAGATCGGCATTGAGATCGCGCACAATCTCGATCATGGATGGTTTCTGGGACGGATACTCCGTACCTCTCGGGGATCATTCGTCTACCAGTCAGTCAGTCACCTGCAGGCCCAGGCATGACCGTCTGTCCGTACTTTGTACTTACATGTGTACTTACTATACGGAGTACGGAGTGTACTGTACCTTACTCTGTACTCTTGTCTTCAGCGGCACATTCTTAGTCATGCTTCCAAGTTTGACATAACCCTCCGTCCTCCTTAACCAGGTACTTGGTAAGTTATGCCACTCGACCACCCCCTGGTTTCAACGGTGTGTCCGCTGCTCCCGAATAGTCAGTTATTATTACGCACAGCTGCCAGCCTGCCAGTAAGCTTCTCGACCCGAATCCCGCCGTGCCAAACACACGGGACAGAATCCCATCCCTTCGGTCCCATTAGTGTTTGATTGTCACAGTTGCGCTGACTAAATTCCACGCTCTTAGTAACTAACTAACTAATTTATCCTCTCGGCACAT